TCAAATCCGCAAATAAAACAAATTTAACAACAATCAGCGATGGAAAATTTATCAATAATTAGCTAATTTTATATGTTCTATTTTATAATATCAATGTCTATATTTTACATTATTTAGAAAACTTCCAATGATATTTGAACTGATGTGTCATGGTAATTATTACGTACTTTGTTAAAACAGTTTTCAAATATTTCATGCTAGCATGTAGCTGCTATTTCATGTCCTATAATAAACTTTAGTTCAAATAAATTATGCTGAAGTAAGTGCCCTTATTGAGATACTCCCCTAATGTATGGCTTGGCATATTTGACTGAAAGAAAGAAAGAACTGACGCTGTTTGTTTTGTATATCTCCATCTTTCAAAGAAAAACATTCTTTTCTTTCATTATTTATTAATGACATGCTTTTATTTTTTAAGTTTTGTTGATGCATTACTTTCAGAGAACGTTAACATTTTATTGCTTCTGTTTACGACTTCAAATTTAATCGTCATAATATTCTGTTATTTCGAGTTAAATGTTTTGATAATATTTTGGGAGGAATAAAATATAAAATGAATGAAATATCACTTAGGTATTTTTCGTCGTGATAAATATTTGAATTCTTATGTTTATCAATTCTATGTGAAAAAATTATATACATTTCGTACATATTGATTTTATACTACCAATCTAACTTCCATTTTTAAGCCAACCGATGTAAAACAGAATTCAACTACTATTACTCATATATTACAAACAAGAAAATACAGGTATTCATAAACAAGTTCTCAGAAATGCTTTAACATTTTTTATGCAGTCATCTTTTTTTAAAAAAAAACTAAATTAAAATAGTGGCATCGTGCCTTAAGGTAAATTGCTGGAACGTAATGAAATATTCGAGGAACATTAAATGTTTTCAAATAGATTATTTTTTCAAATATTGTAACTTATATATGTTTTCAGAAAACTAAATAAACAAAACTTATCTCCACTTCTACCCTCATTACGAATTGAATGTTTTTCGGATCATTCAAATCGGATGCTTCGTTCTCTCAAAAACTCGATTTCATAGAGATTATATTCTCTGCACTCTTTGCACCGTATACTCGAAAAGGCAGGACCTGCCTTTGCCAAAAACTAATCAGCACATCTCCCTATCAATAGGAATCGAATGTTTTCTGAGCTTTTGAAAACGTGGACGAAATATTATATTGAAATAAATTTGTTTCAAAGAGCCCAGAAGACTTATACTCAATTTAAATTTATACTCAAGGAAAATACTCAATTTTAAAAATTAAAAAAAAACTATATATTAGGATCAAAGTATATTTCAATAGACAATTCAATAGTTCCATAATATATTAAATTAAATACTACAAACGTTGTTAAATTTTTCATATGAAAAAATATTCACCGTCCAGCAATATAGTTGAACTATAAATTTACATCCCGCTACGTCGGGCAATTAAAAACTCGTCATTTTACCTCGAACAAAGTTTGCAACGAGCCAAACGCAGCTGTTATTGACAAAAAATCAAAACAAAAATGCCTGGACTTTTGTAAAATATGTGTACACTATGGAAAAATATACATGGTCGTCCGGCCAGAGATAAAAGTCCTTTGGTTAGGAGCTTTATAATGATAAAAGGGCGATGAAAGCCGTGCCGAAGCAACGTGTAGCATATTTGTGTACGTAACATTTCCAGTCATAAATTATTCGCGTACATTAAACTTTAAAAGTTTTAATGCTGTTTGAAAGGAAAAATAAAATCATAAAAACGGGACTTAAGTCCTCGCCACGACGGGTCGCATGCAAAAGAGCTTGATGTGGCACGCCGTCGAGAGCTTTGAAGTCGAATAAGTTATATAAAGCGACCTATATAATAAAAGAATTATAAAAACGAACTGATAAAATTATTAGTAAGTATAGGATTCATTTGAAACTTGATACTTATTCTTTCTGGGCTCCAAACATTTAAGCATTAATTAATCAACATTTTGCGTTTAAACATTATAGTTATTTTAGAGTCTTGTTCAAAGATCTAGAAACGATTTATAATTTTGTAGTAAATGTGCAGAAGTACGTGTTGACGAATGTTTGTAGGAGATTGAGTACGGTTGGGCCAGTTTTTGCAATGAAGGAAACTTGTTCGAACAAACATACTTGATTTTTTCCCTTTGGACATACCACAAAATCAATATAATTTAGATGCTATGACGACTGTCACTACTGTACTCAGTCTCACCTATGTGTAGGCTTTATTATATACGTATTCTTCTATGTATGATTTTTTATATAAACCCCAATCAAATAAACAAAAGAATATATTCATATATATTTTATCTATAAGAATGTTTTATTATTTCATACACTTTTCCATTTGGACGTGTTTTAATGAATCAACTTAAAACACCCAACTTAATATTTTCCTCACAACACTTATAAACTTCATGCCTGTCATGTTCTAATTAGTCATAACTTTTAAAATAGTTGAAGACTTAATTCATTCAGATGGAATAAAAAAAGTTGTCGAGAATTCATTTTTATAATTACATTATAAGAATTTTAAAACTCATTTGACAGTTAGAAAGCTAATAAAAGAGAACGTCTAAACTTTTAATGCTGTGAAAATTCTATATTAATATTTAATTATTTTAGGAAAGTGAATTTATGTGCACTAGATTTTTATGAAAAAAGTATATGAAACTGGTTTTATGGGAGTATGAATTTTCATCAGCTAATAAGGGTTGTTTCCAACATTTGAGTGAATCGTAAAATGAATTTTGTTTTTATAACCCATTTTCTAAATGGAACAATATTTTTATTAGAACTTTTTGTTTATAGGTATAATTTATGTTACATTTAGTATCATACAGTAACGTGTAATGTAGAAAATTAAATTTAATGCGTAACTTGAACATTATAAAGAATTGCATAATCAGATCTGCATCTTATGCAAGGTTCGTGGTCTATGAATCTGTTGACCAATAGAAATATTACAAGTTAATTTTGAGTAAAATCTGTTACAATTTTAAATTTTATACTTCAAAATTATATATATATACGATTAAAAATGGTAAATTATCTTTTCAATATACTAAAATACTTTAGGCAGATAAGTTTTCCAAAGCATCCTTTTCCTATAATGTTATCAAATCAACAAAACACCTTTTCGCCCTTTTAGGTTCAAAATCTAAAAATCCAGTTATCTAAATCCGCAGTCTTACTTAAATCGATAACTCAATTCCCATCGAAGGGCGACAAAAAGTCGAATTCTCAAATAAATCAAGCACAGGGCACAACATTTAGCTGACATTGAATCTAAGTAAGATCTGACCAGATTTATGGCCGGTTTTAGTCACTGTATCTGTCTGTTCTTGCTGCAAAAATTCCTAAAGAGCCTGTATTCGTACTTTTTAGAAAAGAATTCTCCGATTCAAACACATATATCTGAATATAGAAAGGATTCGTAACCCATATATATCACGAGGGGCCGAATGTATAAATCAGCAATGGTGCCATGTCGAAAAAAGAGTTACATTTGCGACCGATGAAATATAATGTTTCCAATAATATGTATGCGTAAATAGAAAAAAAAGGTAGAAAAAGATTTATATTTGGAATAATGGTCATATTTATATCTCTGGGAAATTCATTCACACTCATATTTTTGCTACCTCTGGAATAAAAAAATATTTTCAATTTTTTAAGACATTATATTTAAGAAATATATAGTAGGGTCCAATTTAACTTTGAGAAATTATATTGGGAAAACCAAACCAATTATATCACAACAAATAACACATATCAAACAAACAACTATCTTATTATGTTTAGTAAAACTTGCAGCTTTATCAATTTGTAATCTGGTCCTTTTTACCCCATAGGCGGGGTAAAATGGGACGGCTAGGGGACAAACAGATCCAATATCTTATTTTGAAATTTGAAGCGATTTTCCGAAATAATAGAAGCATTATTGAACTAATGCAAAATATGATGTTTATGGGTGCATTATTTATAGAGAACACTATATACAACCTTGATGAAGTGTTTTGCCAGAAATATTAGTAGAGTTGGAATAACTATTTAAATATGCCATTTCTTGTTTAATTGCATTTAATTTTTAAATTTAACTTACTTTCGTATTTACTATTTGTTATTGTTCACACCTTTGCCAGGATAATGGTTCATCCTTTTTAATCCCCTTACGTGTAAGATTTTATAGAGGTTATAAAAAAAACTGTTGAACCTAACTTAAAATTAACAATAAGTACATTTCATAGAACAATTAAATAACGTATACTTAAAAATTATATTGAGGTCTCGTAATTTAAACATCGGTGCTTACAATACAAAATACTACACTTTACAATACAAGCAACAAAAGAAAATACTTTTGTGATGAATTCGAATTTGAAGCAACGTCATAAAAATCAAGATGATGGCTGGTTATACATCTTTTTCCCTCTACTTTCAAATATTGTTATTAAAATTTTCTTGAGTTTACTGAGATCTCGTTTGTGGACGTTTTTACTCATGGACCTTTAAGCCCCGATCAACCCTATACACTACTATAGTAATACAAACCCAGCAATTATTAATTGAAATAATGGTTTATATGTAAGTTCAACAAATAAAATTCAAATACTATGCATGTGCAGGTTCTTAGCATAAAAACTGAATTCAGTTTTAATGTTATAAAATATCATTGGTTTGAATTTGTTCTAATCACAAAAACATAATAATATTTAGTTTTAGCGAGAACCACACTTAATTAACGACAAATTAAGACAAAACTAGTTTGAACATACTTATTTATAAGAAAAGTAATAACTTAAATTAGTATTAACATAGGGCTCGCCTTCTAAATTCATGGTAAAAGTTAACATTTCTATCCTCTTGAAAATCCACGTATTGTGTGAAGAGTAAGCGTTTTAAGTGCTCAAACAGTTTTATTTGCAAAAGTGCATATTCCCAAGTGTATTGGCAGATTAAAAATATTTTTTTCAATTTTTCAGATTCGACAATCCGGCTTCGGTGGCCGAGTGGCCAGCTCGTCACTTGACTTACAGCTACTTGTGTGCGCTTAACTTGCGATTGCTTTTGTGGCCGTGCGACCTTTGTTGCGACTGGACAATGGGAACAGTTCCTTTATTGGAAAAATGGGCAGATCCTAGGAATTTGGCGACATTGGCCACAGCCGTGCTTTTTGGAGCACTCGGAGTAACCGCACTGACCGCGGAGAGCAAAAAGAAACGGATTGCTTTAACGATGGTAATTATTTTTTATTATCGTCCTCATGTCTCTCAGCTGTATTTTTCATTATATATATACAATGTATAGGTATACATAGGTATTGCTCGAAAGTGAATTTAGTGTCAACGAAATTTTCTAGCTCTTTCTTCATATATTTATAAGAATCTGGTTTCACTCGCGTGAAAATTTAATTAAACTTCAGACAGATATAGTGCTTATTGATGAAACTAACCCTACAAAATATTACGGGTTCATGAGAATATTGTAGTCTAAATTTACTACACTTACTACATTTACTTTACTTTTAATTAACTGATCGTTAATGTTATTTATTAAAAATTCAAATTGTTTGAGTTGACGTCACAATAAATCACACCGAGTACAAATGTAGAAGTTCAAACTGTATTTAATGATTGTTTCGTATATAGGGTATTCCGGAATTCAATGTCAAGCCGATACCGGGTGACACTATTGAACGTAAGTGTCTTGAAAAAAAATTAAAATAAGTTATCTAACGTTGTTTGGAAAGTATGAGCTTTTAAGTGCAACCTAGAGCTTTGGTAAAATCGTGACAATTGTTCGGTTATTGTGGTAGTTTTTATTAATTTTGTTCATCTAAACTTTGAAACCGAAACCGTGAATAACACACAAGACTACAGTTGAAACTAATCACACAAATATCTCAAGATTTTAAGAATTAAACCTTTTTGTTGAACTATGAATAACACAATTTTCAAAATCGATGTATTTTGTGAGGTCCTTCTTTGAAAAAAAGTGTGTTTCACAAAATGTTGGCGCATCTAGTCAGTATTATAAGATAGTATAATACTATCTTATAATACTGACTAATAATAAAATAATAAAAAAAAATGAGTACAAAAATAAAAAACCAAAATTGCACGATTTTTTGATAGTTTTTATTCACAATCAAGAATTTTTTTTCAAGACACTTGCGGTCAATATTAACAACCCATTTCGGCTCGTTGTTGAGTTCTGGGACACTCTAGATGCGATTTAGATTTTTTTTAAATATTTTATATCATTAGAATTGTCAAAGATTATCTTCATCAAATATTGTATTTTAAATATATTTGCATTTGTGTTTAAAACATGTTTGACAAGGAGCAGCGGACGATCTGATTTTGAAAACATTGAAGGAACTATTGAAATATTAAGAAAATTATTGAAAATCATAGTTACCTGCAATAACTACGTCTGACTAGTTACAATAAACATGTCTGATAAGTTTGAATGGTGCAGAAAAGTTTCATTTTGAAAAAAAAACATTGAAGAAACTATTGACAAATTAAGCAAATTTTTTGAAATTATAGTTATAATAAGTATAGTATACGGAATATAATTCATGGCTCATAAATTCATGAAATCATAAAGATTTTTCTTTAGCATAATGTACTAAGAATTTAAAAACTCTTTGTTCATTTAATGAAAAAAACAAATTTTGATAATAATATAAATTACAGAAGATGTATGTTCCTAATGCAGCACACGCATCAATTGAGCACTATAAAGAGCTTTTGGTAAGGTATTAGTGATTAGTTTACCGTGAATATCGGTGGAATACCCTTGATCAGAATGCACTATTGAATGGCGATCGTTCTAAACAAGTGTTACAATATGTCAAAATCGTTAACTGCTACGGACAGAGAATCATGTTCGATTATGTATTCTGTGTCCGATGTAATTCCACGGACATCGGAACCAATCACTGATCGCGCGCTCGTGCTTTAATTAACTTAGCCATGTATTTACCGTACCATCTCTCCCAGCTGGCTCCAATTCTCATCCCTACAATTCGGATGGTTGCCGGTCGAACTATTCAATGTGCGTATTCAATGTTTGGCCACAAACGTTCCAAAACAGGTAAACAGCCGACTGAATCATTCGTAATTTGGAAATCATACGTTCCAAATACGGTGATATTTGTGACCGCAATTAGTCAATTGCTACAATGCTTGTGGCGAACTATAGATGAATCATTTATCAATACCTTTGTGTTTGCGTAAATTTGTAATTATATTAGCGCACATTCTAATAAAGTTTCAAAACTTCAAAAGGTTTCGGTTGGATTCTGTGTATATAAATTTTATGCACAGACAGGTGATATAGTACCGCACATGTGTGTCAACGTATGTTAAATATGCATGGACCGCGCGCAGTTTGAGTACGTTGAATGAATTATGGATAAATCGTTAAATATTTGTTCGGCAAAATGGCCAATTCGACAATGACGAAGTTTGGAAGTAAAACACGTTTATATTGAACAATCGTTATTCGACTAAAAATGGATTTATTGGGTAAACGGCTAAAAGTCTATTCATTAACTTTTAGACATATTTAATAAATCGGGCCGGATCTACGCGTAAAAGAACAACCATTCTAGTCGTCTGAAAAATATAAAATTAAAATGGCATGTCATTATTTATAAAGTAGGAGAGACTGGTATTTTTGTACAGTAATAATTTTGTTAATTTACCAGGTACCTGCGTGAAAAGTAATTTGAATGGTAATTTGAACATCTGTGTGAAATAACTGAAAAACTCTCTTTAAATATGATAAATCGAAATACATGTGGATGAATTGTCCACATACCCAGGACGGTTGTGTCTGGCATAAAAATAGGTTAAAAAAACAATAGCTATAAACACCAAAATAGTTTATAACAACTCTTATTGTCAAAAATGTATAATGAACAAAATAGTTCAATAAGTGATCAAAGTCATTTAACAAATATAATTATCATGCATATTTATATTTTTGAATATAAAAATCAAAAAAACTACTTATTGCAAAAATATGCTAATATGAACAAGAGAAAAATGCACCTATAATAAAATTTAGAGTAAAATCAATTACCGCACTCAAGTTGTGAAATTCTGTTATGAATTTTTTATTTTCTAGTTTTTATTAGTATAACTCAGTTGGAACTAGTGCAAAAACATTATTAGAATATTAGAAGTAGTAAAAATCGCAGATAAATTAAATCATAAGAAACGTGAAGTAATATCCACTCAACTATTTTATAATGTTCTAAATATGTGTTATTAGTTTCTTACTAATATCGGTTCTTGAAAAAATAAACTGGAGAATATATTCAGTGTTAGCGTTAATATTTAATTAAACATTCAGTATTAACAAAGGAAATGATGAAAGCATCACTTATAGGAAGCAATTCAAGGTTTTCGTTTCACATAATCGCATTAAACCAATTAAAAACCCAATTTATTGTAGGCCGCAAGTAATTTGAGCAAATATGAGATAGGTTAAGCCTAAAGGTAGCAGGTGCATAATTCCTTATTTCGACGTCACGATTCCATTTTCTGTTATCCTCACTTATTCTCAGACCGGCCGCAAATTTCATTTCTAGGTCAGTATTACCCTCAAAAGGCTATTCGGGTTAGCCAATTTCTTCCCGGTACTTGCTAATGGTCGATGGTGGGTAATTAATCAAATCAAGAGGAGCTTTGAGACCAGGTGTTCGGATATTATATGATTTTGCAGATTAGGAACAATAAGGCTGGGTGATAAGCGTTGAAAAAGTTGAATTATTGGAAGAAATATGGCCGACTTGTTTATTTGGGGTTTGGGGATATGAATGCAAAAGTTTAAATTCAAAATGTTTGATCAAGCAAATGAAGCAAACATGCTTATTTATTAGTGAGAAGTTTTGATGGATGGATGGAAATTATAATAATTTAAAACAAATTTTATAAACAAACCGTCTCATTTCATAGAATATTTTTTCTCCTAACAACATATATCTTTCAACTGGACCCTAATCCTTTCTTTCCTATCTGATATTGCGTGACTAACCACTTGAAAACCACTTGAAATTGTATAGAGAATTCGGACGATCGTTGGTGGGGCAGAAGACAGTATATCGAACGACTTGTAACGGATAACACATAATGCTAATTTAGATTTCCATATTTTAAATTTTAAATTATAACACACTCATGATGAGACAAACCTAGTCTCGAAACGTTTGTGAAAATTATTATTTAATAAATTAGTGCAACAAAGAGTGTTGTTTGTTCATATTTCCAAATTAATATATATATATATATATATATATATATATATATATATATAATATTAGATATTTATAAATTCCACTTACCCAGGGTTTGGCGTTCATGGCCCTACCATTCCTACCTGCATCGAACCTCTTCTTCCCCGTGGGCTTCGTGGTGGCCGAACGAGTACTCTACATGCCATCCATGGGTTTCTGCATGCTTGTGGGCTATGGCTGGTATTTGCTACCAGGACGGAAGTTGGCCTGGTGGCTTCTAGCTGCCACTCTTGCAGCTCACGCAATCAGAACACATCGGAGAAACTGGGACTGGGAGTCGGAGTATTCCATTTTTATGGCTGGTGAGGAAAAAATACAGAATATTTAGAACAATTATTGTATAAAGTATCTAATTAATATGACCTATAAATCAGAATTTATATTTATGATCAAGCCATAAATGTGATGTATTCATGATTTTTCTATAAGTTTAAAATACGAGAATGCGTATATGCATGCCATGCAGAATATGATTTGCAATAAGAGTTGTTAATTTTTAGAATGGAAATAACAACTCATATTGAATATTTTTTATAAACATTAATAACACAAGAATTGAAACAAATAGAAACATTAAAAGATTAATATTATGATTCTAAATAAAAATAAATTAGTGCCATAATTTTTAATATCAAATTTATATTATAAAACACGTTAGTAACTGAATAATAAAACAAATAAAATTTTGAAAAAAAAACATTTATTTAAAAAAAAAGCATAATTGAGATTTCAAAATCACATTCTATTTTTGGAAAACTCTATTTGTTAAAAAGATTAAAGACATCTAGTATCAAAGCTTATTCACAATGCATAAGATCGTTTCTAATACTTGATAATTTTACTTTTTTCAGGACTGAAGGTTAATCAGAATAATGCAAAGCTCTTCAATAATGTGGGACACGCTCTTGAATCACAGGTAAATTGATTTTTGAAATTTATTATTATAGCAAATTTAATATTTCATCAGATTGCTTAACGTAGCAGTTTTTTTCAATCAATCCATTTAATAAGTATCTAAATATCAATTTTTTATATAAATTATAATAATCATTATATGTTTAATTTATACAAGATAATTCTGAATAAGCTCTTTCGAAAAAACGTTCTTGCTGGAATCATAGTTCCTAACTATTGTTTTTTACTATTCTGTAATGTTTAATTCAAATGATTCTCAAACATTATTATCGCTTTTCAGTTGTTGTAGGTATAGATTAGGTAATAATTCATTTTCTTTACTATATTAAAATAAACTGACAAAATATAATAATTACAGGGTCGCTATGTAGAAGCTCTACACTACTTCCATACTGCTGTGAGCGTCCAACCAGACGATGTTGGTGCCCATATAAATGTAGGTCGAACTTACAACCATCTTAAGAAATTCACAGAAGCTGAAGAAGCCTATTTAAGAGCCAAAGAATTACTACCAAAAGCAAAACCAGGAGAAAGTTACCAAGCTCGGATACCACCAAATCATTTGAGCGTATTTTTAAATCTCGCGAATTTGATTGCCAAGAATACAACTAGACTTGAAGAAGCAGATTTATTGTACCGCCAGGTAAATTTACTAAAAAAACGTCATACAAATGAAAATATATTTTTGATAATTAGACTTATGTTTTACCTAATAATAAGACATAATATAGAATCTAAGTATCATTTTTATAAAATAGTTCTGAATTATAAAAATCATAACATTATGATTGACTGAATTGCCAGAAATTTCCACCAAACCTCTGGCTTCTCGTGAAACAAGTGCATGAAAGTTATAATTGAAAGATGATTTGAAAATTAAAAATCTTGCATTGAAGTAATTTTATAATGTTACTGTAGTTTGAGACCAGAGATGCAATTTCATTAAATTTTTAAATCCAAAGAGTCTTGTATAACATTGAACTGATCCAATTTTTTATTATTGATAAAATACAAAAAACAAGACAAAAAACAAAATCTTTTATTAAATATATCCATAATATTTTTTATGCATTAATTCTTTAACATATGTATGAAATGAATAATATTATGTGAAGTTTTAAAGCTCAACGAACAAATCTTCACCTCAAAAATTCAATTTTGTCTAATAACCTGAATAAATGGAAGTGAAATGGAGTTTATATATATATATATATATATATATATATATATATATATATATATATCTACTTATATATAGTAATATATTTTATTACATGAATTTTATTATTTCAGGCTATCAGTATGCGAGCTGATTACACACAAGCTTACATAAACCGAGGTGATGTTTTAATAAGACTCAACAGGACATTAGAAGCTCAAGAAGTTTATGAACGTGCTTTATTATATGACAGCAGTAATCCTGATATATACTATAATGTAACTATAATTATTAAATTATTATTCCACCCGAACACATTTATTTTAAATGTTCAAAGGACTAAAGATTACTATTATATTTCCAGTTGGGTGTAGTATTTTTAGAGCAAGGAAAAGCACCGCAAGCTTTAGCATATTTGGATAAAGCTCTTGAGTTTGATCCGGATCATGAACAAGCTTTATTGAATTCGGCAATATTGCTTCAAGAATTAGGCAAGAAAGAATTCCGTCCAATTGCTAGAGAAAGGTTGCTAAAATTGCATGCAAAAGATGGTAAGTAGAATGGAATTTTCGAATCAGAAATTACCAACTGTATAGTTGTGTTATCAAAAAATCTAAAACTGATATTTTTCATTAAATTCTGGAGATTATTGTTTTCTTCGAATTTCTGTTTTCTAATTTTTATTTTTTTTCAGAAAACAACGAACGAGTGCATTTTAATTTAGGAATGTTGTCGATGGATGAACGCAATATTGCAGATGCCGAAAATTGGTTCCGAAGAGCTGTCCACATAAAATCAGATTTCCGAAGTGCCTTGTTTAATTTGGCGCTTTTGTTGGCTGATGACCATAGGCCCTTGGAAGCTGCACCTTTTCTAAATCAGTTAGTCCGACATCATCCTGATCATGCAAAAGGATTGATATTACTTGGAGATATTTATATTAATAATATACGTGATCTGGACGCAGCGGAAAGTGTAAGTAAAAAATAGATTTTAGTAAGATTAAAAAATGTGGGATTATTTATTTTCTTAATGCTCTTTATAACGAAGTACTAAAGCAGATAGCAGGTTGAGTGCAGAAAAATTATGATTTTCATTCGTGTTTTGTAAAAAACAAAAAGATTTTAGAAATTCTGTAATTCTTGCTCAATGGCAATTGATTTTATTTGGTTTAATATCATTTCTTTACTGAGTAGAATGAATATGATTTCACCTGGATACTAACCTAATACTCAAAATGTTATTTTGTATACTTTTAATGTATTTTATTGAAAGTTAGAAATAAAAAATAGTCATAGCTAAGTATTTTATAGTTAGAAGGCATAGTTTCAAGAATTGAACAATTTTTGTCATATTTATTAATTTAAATTTACGAAATGGCTACTTGAACTTGATTTCTACAAACTCAACCGCAAATATGTCATTTTATTAGCCTTTGTTGCAAGTTTCTGTTTGTCCACATAACATTCCCAGTAAACACACCGAGTGGCGGTAGCAATCTGAAATCCACATAGATTCCACATGAGTGTCACAGCGCTGAAGGCATGCTTGTGGATTTCAGGTTGCTACCGCCGCTCAAATCACACGACCTTTACTGGATTTTGTTGATATACTTAGATTCTGAATAAGTTTTTTCACTGATTGATCTATGTTTTGATTTTATAGTGTTACAAACGAATTCTGCAACTGGATCCAGTAAATATCCAAGGATTGCACAACTTATGCGTGGTGTACGTGGAACGAGGCAAACTCATGCAAGCGCAATCTTGCCTGAAACATGCACATCGCATGGCACCCAAAGAAGACTATATTCTGCGCCATCTCCAAATTGTGCAAAACAAAATTGCGAAACTCCGCACCACTCCGGAAAAAATAGAAAACATGGAAGCTTTCATGGAAGTAGACATACGTGAATTCGGTGGTGACAGATTCATACCAGTAAAACCTGAGATGAACATCAGAGCAACACCTACAGCTAAAGCATCCAAAGTGGTAAAGGACTCAAAGCCAACGCAAGGGTCGAAAAGTTTTTCAGGGAGTAAACAAGCTCATCAAAAATCTGCCAATTCAAAAAGCAGGAATACTAAAGACAGTAAAAATTCCAAAAATGCAAGTGATCAACAGAAGTTGAAGCGAACAGACAGGCCCAGGCCTGAACCTGAACCCATGTTTGTAGATAGTTTAGATGGAACTGTGGTTGATGCGACTTCTTTAAGGCACAATACAGAATATAGAAGTAGTAATAGTGTACATAGTGGAATTACCCGTAGTGCTGCTTATTCTTTGAATCCTCAAAGAGCAGCAGCATCAGATATTGAAGAACAATCAGCAGGATTGTCATAGCTAACAGAGAACCAATTTTTTTAATGTGCTGTACAGTTATGTAATATGCTTGTGTTATTATGAATATTTATATTGTATATTTATATTTTATAGAGAAAAGTTTCATACTGGGCTGAATAAATTTTTGATAGGAATCCTGCATACCTTCGATAGAAGGGCTAATTTTTTTATATTCGTTAATTTTATTATAAAGATTCTATGCAATTTTCAATAAAGAGTATCTTACTCTTATACAACAATATCTACTTCCTGCGCAAATTACGTTTCATAAAATGTGTTATTATATTTAGTTAAAGATTCCTTCTATTTTTGTTGCAAGATTCCTTCTATTTTATTGGGTATTAAATATAATAAATAATAAGAGCATAGCCTTTAGACTGATTGTTAAAAATATAAAGAAATGGTTTCTTATCATTTTGAGAAGGCTATTATATTACATATAGTATACGAATAAAAATTAAAAACTTCAGAAGTATACTTATAGATGCGTTAAGTTTCATTCCAGTGAATACAAAATTAATGTATACTAAATATTTTCAAAATTATTGCTTTTAAAATTCAGCGTGGTATGAAACTAGTTTTGATAGCTGTGAACTTAATATAACTCGTTTATAAAAATAAATATTTTTAATTTACGTTAATTCAACTCAAATTGGATTTGATAGAAAATTAGTATAATGTTGCTAAGTTAAAATACCGTATCGCATAAATTATTGAAATTTAAAAATATTCCTATTGTCACTTCTTTATAGTTCTACCCAGTTACTAGTATAAGTCATTTTAATCTTCCAGATTTCCTTTATTATGTAAAAATAACGATTTCTACAAAATTATATATGATATGATATATGGTGCCTTGTACAAAAATTTATAGAGTTTTAGAAAAAGGGCAATTCTCGAGAAAGTTTTTTGTAAAATATATGAATATTTTTATATGTTTGGAAAACTGATGGATTAGATAAAGAAAGCATATAAATATACAAAAAGCTAGATATAAATGTTTAAGTGGATTAAATGTTATTTATAAATGAAATGTTTAATATATGCAAAAACACAAATAAAAAATTTTGTATAAAAGAATGAGGAGATACGACATTAAAATAGATAAATTTAAACTTGTATTTATAATAAAATCCATTTCGCAAAGATTGCAATGTTGCAGTTTTTATTCAACAAAATTAGATGTTAAAATATAAATATAATTATTCATCCACAATGTCCTCCTCTCTTTTATAAGAATATTTTAATAAAATTAGAATACCATGATATATTTTTCACATAAATGAAATTTCTTTAAATTCATTTTTCTATTGATAGGTGCATAAATCAGTTAATTTTGTACCAGTGCTACACATAAAAATATATATTATAATAAAGTAATTTTATGAAAAAGGTGGTTTTTATTTATATAACTATATATACTTAAAACATTCTATTTTAGTTTCCTACAAGGAATATTTTTGTGAAACGAACAGTTTTCATAACATCTAATAAATAAATATTAGAAAAATGGCAATGAGTTCCTGGTCTAAAGTAAATGGCAAAAGTTTATAATAAAATCATAGTAATTAGCCAATATTAGCTGTTTTTATATGGTTCATTTAACTCGTTCGTTTAGTTAATTTATGAAACATTTTTTTAACTACACGACAAAAAAAGCATTAAATGTGGCATTTTATTTTAAATATTTTGTTAAATATTCAGTTCCTCGTCACAACTAGACATTTATATTTTATAACTTTTTTTTAAATATAAAAAAATGTCAACTACTATTTATAAAAATAGATTTTTATAGTAGATTGTTTACCATTTGTTGAATCTTTCTCCAATTTACAATATCTTGTAACTTTATAAAATTTTTCTTATACAGATTAAAATGACACAACCTACCATTATTTCAAACCTACCTACCAAAATCTTTTTTTGCAAATTCTATCATGACTTTTTATATCGGATTTTAGAAATACTAATTATATTACTATTCATACACAATTTTTTTTTTACTTGCCATTTTGAATATGCAACAAAGTAGTATCAGGAGCATATTTAAGCTCAATTGTGCTTGAATTTTATTAGATATCATTAACAACAATTTTAATATAATAATTCAAATACATAATTCACAGAACTTTGATAAACTCATTAAACAAATTATTATGTTTAAATCAAACTATCTATGAAAACGTTAAACCAAGAGCTCTCAAACTTATTTTATCAAATTAATATCAATGACCATGCCAATAAAAAGCACTTGAACCATATTTTCTGAACAATGTATCCTGAGCCAAATTATAACCCCAAATACTCATGATTTTTTTTAGGTAACTGAAACTTGGCAACTTCTGTTAAAAATTTTCAACAATGTTAAATAAAAAAGTGTATGTGTGAAAAAAATGATTATATAGTTGTAAGTAGTACGATTTTCTTTAAAAATTATTTTGTTTATTTCAAAATATATAATCAAAACGTAATATAATATATGAGAAAACTAAATTAATAAAACCATCAAATTTCCTATTCATTCATATTGCCAAAACATAAGCTTAAAACAATAGGTTAAGCTTGAACAACCTATCACATATGCTAATTCCTATTACGTCATATTATTAAAATCTTGAATGACGCATTTAAGACATTTCTTAGAGCATCCCTCTGAATTTAATTTATGCATACGTAAATAAATTTTCCACATATTTGTCTCCAGCATTTAATCGAGTAGTTTCCCTAATGTGTGTGTTCAATGAATCGAAAATAATGACGGAGAACTTGCCGTCACAACAAGCTGAAAAGGCGATTTTGACGTTTTGAAGGTTGCCAATAATTAACAAGTCAACTAATGCGCCTCCACATATCCGTAAATATGCATAATAAAATTTATTATTAGATTTTAAAGGATATATAGACCAAACCCTTCTGTTAATATCAGGAATAATAAAGATTCTGCTAAATTAATTTATATATGATATAGGATGCAAAATTATTTTTATAACTTTTATTTTCTTATTTTGAATGGCAAACAGAACTAAACAGTTCTTATTTTTGTTTTTAAGAAGGCAACCCAACTATAAGGTACATATTTTTATTATTAGAATAGTTTCAAGAAATGCTATGATTAAACTCCTTAATCATATACATCGCATTTTTAGAAAGTAACCCAACAATCGACCTATATTTAATATTGTTCATTATTTTTTTAATACCTATGATAAATTTTAATTTTTTAACACATTTTATTATATTTGATACACGATATATTGTTTATTTGATACAATACACATAATAGTCATTCGTTTCCGGATACAAAGTATATCGTTATCTTCTACAGAATTTAAAAATACAAATTCTCTGAAATTAGAATTTATTACCAAACATTTTCGATAAAAAGATTGACATTTAAAATTGACTTATCTGCACTTATTACATAAAACATACTTCTGATCTGGTTTCTATAAACATATTTTGACGCAATCTTGTGCTGAGCTAAGTTTTTAGTTTTTATAGCTGATAATTTTGTCTGCTTTTATCAAACATACAAAAAATCGATGTCTGATATCACAATCACTAAATTTCGTAAACCATAAGTAAAGATAGCTTTTAATTAATTGAATATCCTTCATATATTAATAAAATTGTGGTGTTGAGATTTCGGCTCAAGTTTTTTGTTACTGTTTTTATATGACGTGTTCATCTGAGAAAATATTGTCCTCAATTATTGTAATGGTCTATGTGTGAGTAATTGAACTATAAATAATCACTATAATTATAAATATATAATTATTTATAAAAAATATTGAATGTGACATTATAACATTTTTGAAAAACAAACGATTCATATTTCAATTAAAAAAAACTTGATGTAATAGTAATAATAACATGCTGTAATAACTATTACATAAAACCGTCAGAATTTTCTTAATTTTTATAATTTAATATAGGAGTCTCTCGTAGGTAAGTAGCTAGAGACACTGAGTCTGAATCAGAGGTCCTGGGTTAGATCCAGCTTCGAGCAGCCTGATGGCAAGCAGTAGTGACATTGGTTTTCATTTGGAAATATAAATATCAATTTGTTTCGAACTTGAAATTACTCCAAATCAAACCAAAAAAATATTGTGTGATAGAATTTCCATTGCCATTTAACAATGCAGTGCATAACAGAAATATTTTTGATTGGAAACATACTACTGCATAATTTATAGTTCAGTATTTTTTCAGTAGGTATTTTTAGTAATTCCATTTTTATTTAGCACTTTATATCAGACGTTTTTCTCCAATATACCTTTTCATCTCAAAATTGTGTGCACAGTATTATTATTATACGATATCGTCGCTTTATTTTGCACAGTTTATCTCAAACGTTTTTCTCATATGCGGATATACTCGTACATGTGATTCATTGCATATCAAGCATATGCAATTTATGATTTGCTCTAAAAATTGCTTCGACTCGCTAATTTCCGAAGATAAATTAATGATAGAAATATTATTTCAAATAGACGTTAAATTATGTGCATAATGACGGCAATCCCATTAGATTATTTCGGATAGTTTGTGCTACAAATTAAGTTGATATGGTGTGTAAACACAAATATTTGTTTTATATTCATGAACTTTTGACATTGATAAACTTGAGGTCCGCGTGTGGCAAACTCGAAATTTTCAATGTATATCTAGATTATAAATTATAATTTATTATATGTGCATAAACACATTATATATATATATATATATATATATATAAATGTGTGTGTGTTATACATTTGAACAAGAAGTTAACGAACGGTGGTGCCACCGATGAATAGCGCCAAAAAACTTTTTTTTTGAAAATGCTTTAACTACTAAACTACTAAATATTTTTTCAGATTTTTTTTTGTTTAAATATATTCTTTAAAATGCCAAGAAATTCTAAATGGCTGCAAAAAAGTTAGAAGGCTGACCCTTAATTACCCTTTCGACTAGGATTCCGCCGCTTCTGCAGCAAAATACACATTGATTTCGGAATT